GAACGAGGACTAACCCAAAAAAAACCCGAACATGGGGCAGAAGGTTCCCGGCGGGATCAAGACGGTGGACATGAGGGACCCGGCGTTTCGGCCGCTGAAGCTGGAGCTGCAGGCGCTGGACTACGCCAAGCCGGCCCGGCTGGACATGCTGCTGGACATGCCGCAGGCGCTGCCCGACGTGCAGGTGCAGCACTCCTGGAACAACGACGACCGCTCCCTCAACATCTTCGTCAAGGAGGACAACAAGCTGGTGTTCCACCGGCACCCCGTGGCCCAGAGCACCGACGCCATCCGGGGGAAAGTGGGCTACACCCGCGGGCTCCACGTGTGGGAGATCAGCTGGGCCATGCGGCAGCGGGGCACCCACGCGGTGGTCGGCGTGGCGACGGGCGACGCCCCCCTGCACTCCGTGGGCTACATGGCCCTCGTGGGGAATAACGGCGAGTCCTGGGGCTGGGACCTCGGGAGGAATAAACTCTACCACGACGGCAAGAACCAGCCTAGTAAAACATACCCAGCTTTCCTGGAGCCTGACGAGACCTTTATTGTGCCCGATTCCTTCCTGGTGGTCTTGGACATGGACGAGGGCACCCTGAGCTTCATTGTGGACGGGCAGTACTTGGGAGTTGCTTTTAGGGGACTGAAGGGCAAGAAACTGTATCCTGTAGTAAGCGCAGTCTGGGGACACTGTGAAATTAAAATCCGATACCTAAACGGGCTTGATCGTAAGTACCCCTTCCCCTCTGCCGCCTGTAAAGCCTTGAGGAATTGCTTTCGAGATGCCACAGATGTTTTCCGAATTCCAGCTCCCTTCCATGTTCTGTGTTTTCCGCGAAGCCAGGTGTGTGCGTGTGTTTGCACTGCTTTGACAGCCAGCTCTGTCCGCAGAGCTTGTGTTCCGGTTGCTTTTCCTTCTGTAGGTTGTAGGAACTCTTGCGGCTCTGCTGAGGGAACTGCTTCTTCACAGGAAGGTGACGCATTGCAGTCTCCAGAGCTGGGAGCTGTATTGGTGTGCAAACTGGACAGGCACACGTAGAGGTCTTTGTTCTGCTGCGAGCCTGGAAAACGGTTTCTTTTTTGCTTTCCTGCTTGGAATCCTCTCGGGGGAACAGTACAGCTTCTAGTCCTGTAAGGTCGCCTGTATCACCGAGTTGTTCTAAAAAGGTTTTGCCAATAGAGGGCTGAAGTAGCTACCCGAAAGTGGAAAACGTTTCAAGACTTGAAAATTGCCCATCTGCAGCAACTTTGTGTTTTGCACTGAGTTGCCATCACAAATAAAGTTTATTTTACTTTATCACAAAGTTATTGAAAATCTGGTTGTAAAATAGGTTTGGAGTGCATCTTGATATACTGGTTTTGAGACCCCCGAGGAAAATCTGCATTTTCTCCCACTGCAAGACCAGCTGGCAGGTCATCGCTGGTGGTCACCAGTTCACATGCAGGTTAAGTGACGTGGGCAGTGTTGTGTTAAGCACGGGTCTTCCACTGATTAGATAGAGCTTGTGACATCACTTAGTTTGCTGTGCACACAGCGTTCAAGGCCAGAGCTGCAGGTGTGGGTCAGAGGGCCAGTTTGCTGAAGATGATCGATGAGGCTGCTCTTGATGAGCTGCTGTCCTCGTGCAGCAGTCGAGCTCAGGCCTGCGCAATCCTGCTGCGTCTGACGCTTGGCGCGCCTCTTGTGCAATTGTCTTGCTTTTGGGCAATTTTTAAGTGATTGTGCAGTGTAATAAGTAGATTAAACCCGTTTAATATTACCCCACCTTTCCGCTTGCTAAACCTGTTACATCAGCCAACGGTTTTTAAATTGCGAAACAGAATCGTTCAGCTGCTGTAGGTGAATTTCACAAGGGCCGTGGCATCTAAGTGTTGCCCATAATATAAACCAGGCAAGCGCTGGCATCTTTTTAAATTCCACAATTTTGGAAGAATGTGGAGACGCTGCCTTATAATATTTTTAGAATAATTGAGCTTACAAAATGTTTTTGAGTGAATGTAAGAATCTTTATGGTACTTAATTCTGTGATGCATGGTGATGTAGACCTGACAAACCACAGTCCATTCCCACCGTTTACAATGACTACCCCTTTTACGAATGCAGATGGTTGTACGTTTGTTTAGTGCTAATCGCAAAGCTCGCATCTCTTCCTCTTATCAGTTTCTTTTAGAATCATGAGCCCTCCTTTTCAAGTAACACGAGCATTGCTGGGGGGCTGTTGAATCTGCAGTATGCTTGTAGTCTATGGCTGCCCAGGCAAACTGCCCTCATGCAAATCCTCTATGTATTTAAACTGCACTCTCTCAGCCGATGGTAGGACCCGAGAATCCCCTGTAATACGCAGGTGCTTCATGGTCTTAAGCAAAGTGGGTGAGCCTGTGGCTGTGGTAGCCTGCCCTTGTCTGCTCTGAAGGCCTTTAGAATACAGCTGTGATGAGATCAGGTCCTTCCCAGGACCACAGTCTTCTGCACCTCTGTCTCGGGGAAGCAATGGACAAGCATGTTTGCAACAATAACAGTCTCCACTTGTGCTTGGGGAATCGGTCGGCTAGGGGCGTGACTGAGAATCGAACCCGGGATCGTAGTACTTGGCCTGCCTTTTCTAGCGGAGCTGATCTGTCAATCTGAATAAAACGAGCCTCAGGACATGTTAATGGGGACCCGGCTAGCTTGTGTTGTGTAGCAGGACCGTGCTCCCAGGACGTTTCCTCGTGGAAGACGGGGGAGAGGCTAAATCGACATGGGACAGTGTGGTCCTGGAGCGTTTCAATGTATTCGGCAGCCAGAACAGTTTATCGAGTAATCTCCTGTTATTTGACGCTGTCTAGTTGCCGAGATGAAAGTGTCTAATGGGGTTGTTTTAGCACGCAGATGGTAGACTGTGAAATGACATAATTCTGAAATTAGACTGTGGCTGGGGGGGGTTGTCTAACAAAACCAACAAAGTTCAGGAAATGCAAGTTCTGGGTTAGTGATGTTACATTAATGCTACAGAACAGTCAGGATGCAGGTGTTACCATTTTTCAGGGAAACCTTCCCTGCTGTGGCTAAGAAAACATTCAGTCTGTGAATTATTCAGCTTGATGACATCAGAGTTTGGCCAAAACAGAGGTCTGTTTTTTTTTTTTTTCCCCTCTCTCTCTCCTGTGAGAACTGGATGCAGGCAGTTATGTTAAGAGATCTGAAAATGCTTTGGGGAGGGGGTAAAGCTTCAAATGTAGCTTTTGTTCTGACATGAAGCCCATGAGTACAAGTTTGACGCGCTGCCTGTTCCTCGGCAGCGATGGTCACAGTCGTGTGACCTCATACAAGCCCTTAAGATTCTTGGCAGCTGAGGGCATTACTGAAGGCTTAGGTTCAGAGGTCGCCCTTTCCTGCCGTCTGCATCGTGTTCAGTCTGGGTAATGGTTCCTCTGCGTTGAGGGGGTTGCCAGTGGGGTTCTGATCGGGTTCCGCCCTGGTGAAGCAAGGCCCGTCCTTGACCTCCCTCGGGGGTGCGGGCGGTCCAGCCCGGGGCTGTGCTGGAATGTCTCGGGAGGGCCGCGGTGTTGGGCAGCCGGGCCGTTTCCCCCGAAGTGGGCTGGCGGGTGAGAGGAGTATCCCGTCGGCTTCGCGTCGGATGAGGGCCGGTTAAAATGACCGTGGGGTTCCGGCGAAGAGCCGCAGCCCGGTACGGTTCCCGTAGCCTGCTGGGAGAGGGCGAGTCGGGCAGAACAGGGGACAGGCAGCGGTTCTGGATGGTAGAAACCAGAAGGCTGAACAGGAGGATTAAAGCCCCGCGGTGGCTCGTGACTCGCCTCGCTCACAAACTGGGGTTCCCAGAGTCACCTTTTGACCTCTTTCATTCCGTCTTCGCCCTACTGCCCGTTTGAAACCCTTTATTGAGCTGGTTTCGCTCGCTTCACGGAGCGCGACGGGATGATTCCCTAGGGAGACGTGGCTTTGAAATGTCCAGTGCTCAAGCAGAAAGCATTCGGCCGCAGCGTCGGGTTCGTGTCCCCGGTTCCTGGAAGGAGCTCCGCTCCGGCCCCGGGCTGCTCGTGTGTCTCTCTCTCCTCCCTCGGAGGGTGACGGCTCTCTCCCCTCTTCTCTCCTCCCCCGCAGCGGAGCCGATGCCGCTCATGGACCTGTGCCGGCGATCCGTCCGGGTGGCCTTGGGGAAGGAGCGTCTGAGCGAGATCCATGGGCTCCCGCTCCCGGCTGCCCTGAAGAACTACCTGCTCTACCAATGACGGCCGGTGCGCCGCGGCGGCCCCCCGCTGTCCTCCGGGGGTCCTCCACTCATCGCCACGCCCCCGCCGTGCTCACAGGGGTCTCCACCTGGCCTTTTAATGTTGGTGTTTTTTTATTCCTCGGTCTCGGACTTGGTCTCGTTCTTATACTGGAAGTGTTCAAGGCCTCTGTTCCCGGATGTGGACCCCTCTATATATAGAACGTTCCGATGGCTTTGGTAATATTCCCGTCGTGCTCCCGAGAAGCGCGGAGGATTGGCTCCCTGGATGTCTCTCCTCCTCCTGCCTTTTTAAAATGCGAAATTTTATAAGTTTTTCCTTGACTTCTGGGCTCTGGAGACAGTTGTTGGATTTCTTGATGGATGTGTTGATCACTGTTAGTTTGTGGTTAATCTCTCTCGATTGCCATGAGTTTGTGACTTGTGTACTAAGCACTGTTTTTAGCCAATTTTATTGCATTCTGAATGGGTTAACGGGTCTCAACTAACTACAAGATGTCATTTTATTATGCTTTTGACTTTTAACTATGCAGGATATTCATATTTTTTAAATGTATAAGTGTAGGTTTATGTAATTGCTCGTTACCAATTTTGAAAGTGTCATGCAGTGTTCTTTTTTTTCTGGGGGATATCAGATAAAGCTTCATTTAACAGACCTCTCACGGTTGGCTAGTTAGACCAGCCAGGACAAATCTTTGATTGCTGTGGTTCAGATGTCTATGCTGTTCTACACAGGAAGCAGCGGAGTTTCTGTTCCAGAAAACTAATTTGGTCACCCACAGAGCAATTGCATGGACCTTTATAAGGACCACACTGTGAGAACTGTAGCCAAGTGACCACAAACAAACCCCATTATTCAGTGCAGACAAAGCATTCTCTGCAATATTTTAAGTGCCTCTTATGCTTGTGTAGACATGTTTGTAAAAAAATCCAGTTTTATCAAATACCTACCATGATTTACACATATTGCATATCCATCAGGAAATCTTGCTTTCTGTTTTTTTTTACCTCCCCCAATTGTTACTTGTGCTAAATTTCAGGTCAGGTGCCCAGGAGGTAGGATCTTCCTCGTTTGTGCCTGTATTTGTTGTGGAGGACTGGGTCTGGGTTGATGGACTCTGGGCAGGGGAGAGGGAGGAAAATGGGTGGTAGGAACGTATTTTAAACTGTACAGGTGGTGTATCTGCTGTAGGGTGCCTTGTTCACCGTTTCATCTTATTCTCTGTTCAAGATTAAACGATTAGTATTTTTAAGTGGCGTGCAAGAACATTTTATGAATCACTCTGTGCAGACCTTTTTAAATGATGGCTTTCCAGGGGAACAAGAGACAACCAGTGCTTTAATCACATGTTCATTTTTTTCTTTTGATTTTTTTTTTAAAGAAGTGCAACTTGTCCTTATTTGGCATTTATTTTGCTAAGCATGTGCACAGTGCTGCTTAACCCCCCAACCTTGTTCAGTTTAGTACCCCTTTTCTTTTTAGGCCTGCACAGTCTAAACTTTCCTTTGTATTCAATGCTGTAGATAATGTTCGTAACTACCTAATAAAGTTTATTATAAATTAACAAGCTCTTGCCTGCTCGTCTCTGGGGTTGGCTTTCAGTGCTTCAGGTTTGCAGTGAAAGTTTCTTCCCTGCGTGCTTGGGGCTTGGCAGCAGAGCGCTTCCCCTCTGACGACGTACCTGGCTGTCTGGGAACCTCATGCAATCCCATGGAAGACTCTTTAGCTGCTTTGCATCTCGTCAGATTCCAAGCTTTGTGTTCCAGCTGCTCAGTCTCTTCTGGAAGTTGCAAAGCTGGACAGCGTCCTAAAATGGTTTCAAGTCTAGTTTTAGAGGCTCACTCCTTCAGAAGGGAGAGGTGTTCTTCCTAAAGGAGGGAGGGGTACCAGCTAGCCAACTGGGTGATGCAGTAAGGCTGCTGCCTTAATTCAGGTGTGTGGCTTTGAGTCGTCGTCGTCGTCGTCCTCCTCCTCCCTCTCGGCATGTTCCAGATGAACCATGTGGAGGTTTTGCTGCCATGTCAATGATGCCTTGCCCTTTAAAAAGGACAAGCAAGCAGAGAGCCCCTGAGTCTATAAGAACACCAGCTACTCGCCGATCTTCAGCAGTATTGCCTGAAGGGCCTGGCCTGCAGTTAACAGCCTGTGGCTCCTGGACTGTCAAGGTCAGAGGACGTGACCGAGACGGACAGATGAGGGAACGGGCTGAGCTTCCTCCTTCGTGCGGTCTTTGCCTTGGCGTGCTGACGGCAACAGGAAACTGAGGGGTTTTCTGCTTCCTGTTTCTCAAGTGTCTCCTGCCGTGGGCTCAAGAGGTCATGGTGTTCGAGAGCCTCCGCAGGCGGAGCGGACTGGGAGGTGTCGTCAGATCCCCGTCTGGGAATGGCTGTGTATTTTCTACGTACTGTAATGTAGTTTGCAGCTAATCTAGACTCTGTAACCAAGTACAACATGATGCATTTCTTTCTGCTCGGCGGTCTATGCGTCCACAGGTTTGTGGCGTTGCTATTTTTTTTTTTTCTGTAGCAGATGCTTGAAAACTATCTTGTATTGTGAATGGAAGCTGGCCATCTCTCTGCAAGATAAATGGCTTCCTGCTTTTTCAAAGCTCGTCCAAAAGCCGGTGCGCAGGGAGAGGAACAAGATGGGTCTGTATAAACATCACGGCTGTGAACAGAAATATAATTTCAAAGTCCTTCGGCCGGCGACGGTTAAGCCAACTTTATTTATTTTTTTCAAGCGGCCAGTGCTGCACGTGGAGGCAGGGCGTGGAAGGAACGTCCAACATCGGTGGTTGAAGACGAGACGGGCTGGATTGGCGCAGTGTGAGGCCTGCACTGGTGATCCAGGAGTCCCCCTTACACCTGTGCCTTCCTGGTGGGAATTTGACAACCCTGTGGATCGGGGCTCCTGGGCTCTGCCTGTAGGGCCTGGTGTCTGCTGGTTTTTGTTCTCCAGAGTGTTCAGCTTGGATAAAACACTCGGATGCACGTGTTTTGCTAATGGCCTTCTTCTATGAGGTTATGGTTATATAAACACCTTGTATCCTGGCGAGAAGTGCAGTGGATAAATTAGACCACCAGGAATCGGTGTCTGTGTCTATGGGGTTTTCGGTCCGGTCTTAACCTGAGTTAGGTCCGTGGTGGCTTATTTGGACCTGGACCGAGGACATCGGTCCTAAAGCACGCCTGGGATATCTGGAAATGTGGCTTCATGTTAATATCCGTATTTGAAGTAGGAAACTTAAAATCGGTGTAGTATTTTTGCAATGAGACTTAAATCTTCAATATTGGCACATTTTCCTTATCTTGTTCCTGCATTTATCGAGGAGTTCAAAGGAATAGTTATTCAAACATGGTTTTCTGGTGCTTAGAAAGGAATCTGTCTGCAGTTAAAAAGCTATGACGCTGATAGATGACATGCAAATATTTTTAAGTAATTCCTTGCATGACTTAAAGGGTTTGTTACAATTCCCTGAATGGTTTGCCAACACATGGCCTTGTTGCCATGGTGAACTAACAGCACACTCGAGTTTATATGAGATCATCCGTTACAAATACACTGCATAGCTGGAAGAGAACTGTGTTTGGGTGTCTGGAATAGTTTTTTTCCGCCCTCTGAGACTGTTTATAGATGTCGAAAAGCGCAAATTACCGAGTTAATCTCTTTAGAAATAAAATTGGAAAAAGCTTTCCCTACGTATGGGAAGCTGTTGTAGCTTTGTACCTGAACCGTGTAAAAATTGCACTTGACATTGGTTGGAACTGAGGTTAAACGCTATCGTTTGCGTAATGTCCTTCTGCTGTCTGGGTTACAGAAAAAACAAATTTAAGCCTGAAAGGTCTTATTTTACTTATCCCCTAATGTTATTTTCCATTCTCTGGTGTAGCAGTTCTGGTACTACATATTTTTAAATGAAGCAATGTTCATGGATCTGCTGTTTGTATAGCTCAAAAGTCTATTTCCCTGTAGCTGAAGAACAGCAGGGAGCAGTTGTCTTTCTAACCCAGCTTTCAGTTACTACACTGGGCCAGTTATTAGTGAAAGGAGTGCAGCTGTAGGTGATTTTCAGCTGAAGAGGCCTGTAAAATCAGGAGCACTTGGTTTTGAAGATGAGGCTGATCTCGTGAAGACCAAGAGTCAGCAGCATGTGTTCCTATTTCAGAGGACCAATTCTTCGCCTGTAAAAGATGGGAGGTATTCTTCAGTCATCCTGCTTCACAGGATCCATGCTTAGTGGATTTAGTTCTGGCCAGTTCTCCGCTTCTAAGGCACATGCTCTGAAAATACAGAGAACCACGGTTAGGAAGAACAAGCTGATGCGACTCTGGAAATTCCTGGGCTGGGGTAGGTTCGTTATGCATTCGACATAACGAAGGAATCCTCTTTTTCATGGGAAGTCAAATATACTTGGCTGATGCATAGTAAAATAGTTTACTTCTAGTTCTCATGTGAACATACAGTACAGGTTACAAGCAAGGAGGTGATTTTGCCTCTCTAACCTGTTTGTTTGTCGTTAGGTATTTGATTCCAGGATCCCTTCCAGCTGTTTCTTGAAAGCAGTCAGGTTATTGGCTTCAGCAGCATGACTCAGCCGCTTGTTCCCCCCTCCCACAGCCCTCTGGGTAAAGTGCCTCCTGTTCTCACTTTTAAATGCCCTTCCGTGTACTTTCCACTTGTGGCCTCTGGCTGGTGTTTCACGGTTGGAACTGGGTTGTCAGTGCCTTAGAGGATTTTCCATGTGTAAATCGTGTCTCCTCGTAGTCTTTCTGTTCAAGAATTTAAGTGTTAAATGTTCTGGGGATGCATCTGGTTGCTCTTTCTAGGGCTGAATTCCGAAGTGCACAGATTCTGTCTTGCACCAGCTGCACAGTCCCCACCATTCCATGCTCACAAGAGCCAGGATCTCTTTTTTTTTTTTCCCCTGTTTCAAAGCTGGGCTGTTCCCCGCCACAAGTTTGTTTTGTGCAGTTTTAAAGTTTGCTTGCTACACAGCTCTTGCGTTCTTGTGAGTGAATGGTGATGCAGTTTAACGTTCAGGAGTTATGCAGCTGTGATGCAACACGGGGACTCAGAACTGCAGAGGATCTTCAGAGAGTTGGGAAAATGGAACGGGAACACATTCCCAGCTAAAATGCAGCTGAGAAGATGGTTGAGCTCCATTGTGTACAACTGTAACAAAGGGCAGGAGTGGCGATGGGTCATTTCATGGCTGAAAGCAGCTGAGGGTTTTATTAACTCCAGGATCTCGTCTGGTTACGTTGCACTTGTGAGAGGGAATCGCAAGGCCGATGCATCGGAGTGTTCGAAGGACGGTGAGCAGATCGGCATGTCTTGCCTGCCGTTCGCCGTGTGAAAAGCTTAGTGGTAGATTCATTTACAAATTTGCCTATTTGAAGAGCAGCAGGAGCCCCTAAGCAGTGATGATACAGACTGCAGTATGAGGTGACGTCAACACTTGAATTTGCTAAATCCCCTATTAAATGAACATATCCTTCTGTGGAGGAATGTGACTGGCATGTTGTAAGACGAGCAATGTGAGTTTTATTTCTTCTCTGTTCTGTGTGTTGAACAGCTGATGAGTGTCTGAATACAGTTTTACAGTAGGCCTAATGATCATGACGCACTGAGAATATTGCGATTGTATAAACCAGAGAACACATGCTTGCTAGTAAAGAATAATTGTTACAGCATGAGGTGCTAACCAATTTTTTTAAA